TAAGAATTCCCTAAATATTACAATATTAACACATTCGCCGACATGTTAAATCGATACAGAATAAACAACAAAAACAGTTATTGAAACACTATTTACATTAATTACTACTACGATAATAAGCTCTCATTATAATGGAATGTTAAATTTTAATGTTTACAAGCGGATTTTTATAATTTAGCACCACACTCACTTCTTCATACAATATCTTGGTACAGCATATTTCCGTGGACGATTTAAAATTAGGAAAAGCTTGTAGAGGGTTCGTCTTCTAATTAATAATAATAAACAAACATTCTTTTAGATGAAAATATAGCGAAACTATTATATTAAATACTTATGTAATATAAATATTTTACACAGTTAATTTCTATTATTGGAACAAATAAGGTTTTGTTTATAATTATTCGGAATAAACTAAGAATTTCTTTTTTTAACTTTTTTAACTCAGTAAATAGCTCAAGATTAGGTACAAAACCACATCAAAAGCACATTTTTTTTATTAAATTTTGCTAAATATTTTTTATCTTACTGAATTGGTTCATTATGAGACTTAACATTCATACTTTTAGTTGATAGTAGAGCAACCAAGGAAACAATTTAAATAAACATTATGTATAACAGATATTATATTATACAGATTTTCAATAAATTTATTTTTAATTCCAAATTGACTCCCAATTTATTTTTTTGTATAAAAGTTTGTGCTTCGGATCACAGCCCGCAACAATCTAGAAAATATTTTACATATAGTGTAGCCTATCTTTATGTATATATATATTTTAAAAGACTACTCCCGTATTAGGAATAAGTATATCCTGTGTCGCAGAGGACTTTACAAACATACATGAAACGGACACAAAGAACACCCAGACTCAGAACAACAATTTGCAGTCCGTGCAACATAAGTGCAGTGCTGTCTCATCTATTTACGTCTATAGTTTGATATTGCCGCTACTGTGAACAGCCAAAAAGCTAATATGTAAGGACCTTTATTTACAATACATGTTATAGTGCAACAAAATTATCGGAGATTGTCATTTTGCGGGACACAATTTATTTTTAGATCTAGATTTTAGTAACGAATTTTCAAGACAATATTAATGGGCTCTTTATTCGTGAAGGGCCATTAGAATTAAATTGTTTTTGTATTTATTTATTTTCGTCGCCCATATCAGTTGAATTGGACACACTGTAAGTATGAAACACGGATTCATACGAAGAAAGGGGGCGGGGAGGTTTCTGCAAGGGGGTGACCGCCGTCGACGATTGAGTTGATGTAAAATAAACTTGTACTAGACCCCTAGAACGCTACCTACGAGTACTAACATTAATGAGGTAATTAGCATGATACGAAACTTTTTAGTATTCAGATTATTCTATCACCAAAATCTGCTTAATTCATGTCAGAAGGAGACAGAGAGACAATTTAGTCAATTGAAAATGAAGAGAGAGATTCCTTCTAGATAGGAGTAATAAAAATTTGTATATGACGCTTACTACAAATATTTTTAAAATTACTTTTTGTAATGACGATCACAAATGTGGAACAGAATTTAATAAAATGAATATTAATAATTACATGGGTCTATTTCTGGGTGTGATGTAATTCTTAACTTAAAATCAATATTATTTAGTCTAAAACGATATGTGTTTGTGTATAAATTATAAAGCTATATTCGATTTGTATATTAGCTATTCTATTGAAATTAGCTGCAAGATATCTTGTAAAGTCTATTGTCACAGAGTAATTACATTACACTATTAAAAAGAAAAAATAGGCAGCGTGATTTTAATTTATTTGTATTTCTTTCAACCGCGTCATCTATTGTTTGTTTTGTAATCAACATAGCTCAAAGAAACAGCATGCTGAATTGGCAGCCGTGGAAATAAATATTCTTTAGAATCTTAGAATGGAGACCGCGGATCGGTAATTGTCAAGGTAGGTCGCCCCCTAACTAGATGGACTGACGACCTGAAGAAGGTAGCTGCGGTGGAAGGAGGCCCATTTCTAACAGTGCACTGATATAGGTCGCCAGAATATTTATTTCATTTATAATTATTCAAACATCGTGTTCGGTAATCTGAGTCGAAGCGGCCATACAATGCAGAAATTCTACGTGTCTAATAAGTATATAACTATTGGCTCAACAATATTGCAATATATACAATTTAACAATCTTTTACAATATACAAAGATTGTATTCAGGTATTCGTCATCTTACTATTCTTTATAACATCAATACTGTAATAAAAGTATTTTATTGTTTTACACAAAAACATTATGCACACATACGTAGTACATATTTGAGGCTTCAATGCGATCTTTAAACGTTTAAAAGAAATATAAGAGCTAAATATAAATTAAATAATTTTAAATTAATGTGTATAAATAAAATTTATCATGGCAAGACGTTGCAAGGGTTAAATACTACTCATTTGTGGGCGTTACAAGTGAAAAAGAGATGAAAGTAAAGAATCATGATTTCTCGCTCACTCTCGCAATAATGTAATTGGAAGAATACTAGCTGCTGAGTGTGATTTAACCCTTCGATAGTAGCAGTAGCAAAATTGAAAAATCAACAATTAACTAAATAATACTAGTTGAATAACGAGTAGTAACAATAATGGCATAGGTAAGGAGATTGTTAGGCAAGTATAAAATTCACAAAAGAATGTAATATTAAAACTATATTAACATATATACATTTCGTGTTTTAGTTATTTCCTACGAAATTCTTATCAAAACACTGAATGTTTGAAATCCATAATATGATTATCTCATATATAGACAATCGAGTTTTTATTTATTTACATCCTATGTTAAATATATAAGTCAATCTACATTGTATAATGTTTAAAGTAATACTTAAAAACCAATAAGTTCATTTTAAACAATATTTACCCTACTGCAGTATTTTTATAAATACTACATTTATGACGTCACAAAACCTTAACGTCAATGTCAATTTCATATTCGAAATCAATCACTGTACTTTTTTTTTTTAATTAAAATAATGTCTTAGAAATTTACTTAGAAGACTTCGGCGAGACTCGACTGTGACAGTAAAAAATCAACATTATGTAATCAAATATTATTACAAATTATATGTATCATCAGTCATCCAGCATTAATCTTTGAAATTGATCCTAACATTTTAAGTTACTACATTTTACTCTAAAATTTTAAGGTCTTTGGGTTGTTTTTGGAGCAAAACTACATAATGAATCTTTGATCAAAAGATCAAAATCTTGAGTTATTTAAAATAGAACTAGGCAGGAGTAGAATCGACTATTACGCTTCTAATACGCGTTATTTCGTCAACTTCGAAATTACTAAATGTAGTTTCATACATATATACGGATTTACTCATGATTATAGCTAATACTTTGTCTTTAAAATTACTAGAAAATGCCTAAGCACCTTTTTATGAGTACTCAGGAAGTAAAAAAGTGCAATGTTTTATATCTGTCACGGAATGTCATAGACAATAAATATGGTACAGATACAATAATGACTAGACTAGAAAATGAAAAACCTTTTTTGTGTCTTTCTAAAAACAATCGTTAATATTCACTGTTGTAATATAGGGGTCATTGGATTAAAAATTATCAAAATAATATAAACTATGAAATAAGCTGTATAGCGCGACAACATTATAAACATATGTATACAACTTAAAAAAAAGTTGAAATATCTTAGGGCCTGCCAATATTTTGTACTAGTCTTTCAGATAGTTATGTCTTGTCTGACTAAGTTTTTATTTATAAACTGTAAACATGTACCCATTGCTATGGTCTTTAATCTATGTAAGAAAATATGTGAGTGCACTCGGGCAATATCCTTTTTATACTCTGTTCATTCGTTTATTTTCTGTTTGACAATTGCTTGAGAACGTAACTGCGAGAAATTTAAAAATTAAACTTGACTAGGCTATATTTAATTGTATAAGGTGTAACGAGTTCAGTATTTATTTAAATCGATTTAATTTTATCGATTGTTATTTTGAATAGTATCAACAACATGTTAGGTCAAAAATAATGAACTATCAAAATGAAAATAAATGAATGAATCGAGTATTTTGAAGAAAGGAAGAGATATTAATAAATGCTACTTATAATAAGGTTCTACATTAGACTCAACCAAAGCTAAATCGATCGATTAAATTATTCGATTGGATACTGAGATATGTATAGTTTTTATAAACCGAAGTAATACATATAGTAACTAATTTATTGTATTGCGTACTGGTTAAATAATTTTCCTTACATTTAAAACTAACTGTACAGGTAAGTCGTACATACATTTATATAGTAAATTTGTAGGTACACAGTATTTTGATTGTCATTTTCTTTGTCTTTTTGTCGTAGAAAAATATTTTAGTAAAACTATTATTCAGACTATTTACACTGAATGCTGCCTATATATCATTAAGTCTGCCTTTTATAACATTTGAGGCTTGCTCAATCTTCCCATAATCCTTCTTTTTTTTAATATACAACATCGGCAATATAAATATCTCAAACACCGATTGAATTCCAATTTCGAATGCTCATTTTCGGCAATACTTCGGCGCGTTTATAAAACGGATGGATTCGACATATGAATGTTATTCAAATACTTTCCTTATTTGAATAATCATAAACAACAATATCAGTTAATCGTGAATCCATACTTAGTACGCTAATACTGTGTGCAACTATTACTTAGGAGTTTACTACCGATTCGACAACACGCTGTAAGACGGAAAGATTACGTGATTCAAACGATATTTGGCTCTCAGCTGTTTTGAATAAGGTCGACAATGATTTGAAAACGCCAACGAGTACTATCATTTGTCAGGTCGCGTTCGTCACTAAAGATTAAAGACATGAATGAGATTTTATTCTCAATCAATTCTGAACTTTCAACCTTATGTTAGAAAGTCGAATATGAGTTTGGTTGTTAACGTGTGTATTAGGTTAAATATATCATTGCAGGTGTCGCCTGCATACAGTAGGATTCAATTGTGAGCAGCTCGTTTACCTTGCATGTAACCTTCCCATCGCTTTGCTGTGTTTATCAATATGGGGTCACTATCTAAGCCTGCGAGTAGGTACAACTGGTTCACGTGAGTGGCGTGGTAATCCCACCTGGCAATGTTAGGGCTGACTCCAAGAGTGAAGTGCCTCAGGTCGTAGAAACTGCCACTGCCGGTGTCAAAGAGTGGTAAAAGATTCTTCAGTGAGGTCATACCATCGTCGAACATTTTCTTCGCCAAAGATATTGAGTTTTCACCCTCAATGATGTGTAGATCATAAAGACCGAGGAGAGTGTATATGAAACCGTTTAGAACAAACAGTGGAGGTTTTGTGGGGTATTCTTCATACCTGAAACAAATTAGTTAAATTAATTTTACCACAGTCATATTCCTCTGCTTAAGAGTTACCGATTTCCACTGTCATTTTTTTTAAAGTCGGGTAGTTAAGAGTTGAAGGGGTGGGGGTAAAGTAGTAGAAGTGGTAATGCTTACCACACGTATTTATCCATCCACATGGCCTTGACTCCACCAGCGTGGCTCGGCACGTCGAGTAGATACAACGCTCGTTTTGCGGCTTGAAGATATGTTGCGTCTCCACTGGCGTGGTACGCGCGAGCGAGAAGGGAGATCGCGTGTCCTTGACTCATAGCCGAATGCCTGATTGAGTGATTGGAGGTGATAATCAGTTTTGAGAGGTATGGTCGATTATACATGCTTACATTGCTGCTTATGTTCAGAAATGGATTGAGATCTTTAAAATAAAGAGCAATGGACACAGAACAGTATCCTTTGACCATCAATGTTATCAATGTTACACGACCGGATGGCATAGTGGTTTGTGTAACGGACTGCTGTTCCAAAGGTCGCGGGTTCGATTCCCGCTCAAGTCAAACATTTGTGTGCATGAACATTTAATGTTTGATTTGGTCTGGGTGTTTCTATGTAAAATATGTGTGTATTTACAAAAAAAGTATATATGTATTTATATCAGTTGTCTAGTAGCCATAGTTTAATCTCTTCTTAGTTTGGGACTAGATGGCGTTGTGTGAATGTTCAACTGCCTTGTGGCGACGGACTGACGTTTACAAGCATTTTAAGTAATAACAATCCACTATTGCAAGTAAACATTTAGGTTTAAGTTGGATTAAAATTGATAACTGCATACACTAGTACTTCAGTCAAAATTTTGATTTAAAAATGGTCATGTGACCACGCACTATAGGCAAAGAGAGAGAGTTAGAGAAACAATTAGAGTGTTACCAGCCAGGCTTGAGTTCAGCGACCCCGGCGGCCATGCGCCGGCGCACGGGTATGGGCCACGCTCCGGAGCGCGCGCTCTGCGCACGCAACAGCCAGCGCGCCGCGTTATAGAACATGTGCATGTGCTCGCTGCTCGACAGCGTCACGTTGTCCAGGGAACCACTGCCGCTTAAAATTATGCTTGATATCTGTAATGTAACATTGGGTAATAAATAACAATGTTGTAACTATATTATGAGAAGTTATAACCTGGAAGAGAAACTAGTTTTTCGGCGTACTAGCATTTTTTTTTTATCTTAAAAGGCAACTCCCGCATTAGGCATTAGTTGCAGTTGATATTTATGTTTATTAAAGGGGTTCTATTTTGTTATGTAAAGTTTTTATTCATGTGAATTTAGTTTTGGGAAATAATTTTGTCACAATTGTGGTTGCTACGACTACCTATTCATACAGTTTTTTTTGCTTTTGCATTGAAAAAGACAACTCCCGCATTAGGAATAAGTATAAGTATAAGTCCTATGTCGCGGGGGACTTTACAAACATACATGAAACGAACACAAAGAACACTCAGCTCAGAGCAACAATTTGTGGGTCACACAAAGTGGAGTCCCATGTGGGGATCGAACCCACAACACTCAGCGCAGTAGAAAGCGGTGGTGACGGCTTAAACCACTACGCCGTTCGTGCAGTCATTAATGTGAGACTTAAAGCGAATATGACATATTCAACAAAACAGCAGGAAATTCTATAAATGCAGCTCCTGTATGAACCAGCAGACTCGCAAGGTATTGTTATTTTTGATAGAAGCCAATGCATAAGGGCAGCGCCACTACTTCTTCTCTTTGTGAAAAGCAAGTTTTTAAAGCAGGAAATAGTGCAGGTACCATTAACATAGGCATCATCTGGTAGATTAGTAGATTTGTGATTTACTCTCAGTAAAAGGCGCCCAGGCATAAGTAACATCCGTAGGACCTACGAGATCCTACTAAAGGTTTACCGGTTTCCGATCATTCAATTTTTACACGCTTTTTATTGGCTTCACCTGTATGTTTGTTTGTAACCGACTCCTTTGGGCGTGATTTTGACTGACTTTAAACGGTCAGAATTCGTTCAAACTTTGTAGATATATCGATGACAATAGGTACACTAATTTATAATAAAAAAAATCAAAAAAGAAATAATAGTTAATAATAATAATAATAAAAATAATAAACTAAAAAATAAATTTGAAAAAAAAAGCTTTTGGTGCCTGTTGTCAATAGTAAATCCACCCACGCCTTTTTTTTTCAAATTTATTAAAATTTATTTAGTTTGGTTTTCTATAAAAAACGTGTTTTTTAGTTTTTTAACTATTAATGTTTTTCCTGGCGAATTCCAATATTTATATAGAAAATGATTTAGTAAAAATATTACCTTGAATTTATTTCTGGGCAATCTGCGTTTGGGCTTGTCCAGGAGTGCCCAACCTTTCTGCATGTCTATGATCAGGTCGCGCGTGATTCGTTTCCAATTAGGATCAACTCCTACTCCGTAGGATATGTGGTCTTCCTGTCATTTTGATTGAAGATATGTTACATATACATTCTGTTCTCAAAATAGTAAGTTACAGTTGTTCTGAACCCAAAATCTGTGATTTAGAAAGTTACGTATTTTCTACTCATTTTGTGGTTCTATTTCACCAAAAAATCATAGCACGATAATAAAACATCTCATTCAGATATATGAAGTCTACGCAACCCAAGTATTTTTTTTTTTGGAAGAGGGGGCAAACGAGCATACGAGTCATCTGTTGGAAAGTGACTAGCGTCTATGAACGCTTGCAACTCACAAGCACGTTATCGGCCTTTTAGGAAGGAGTACGCTTTTGTCTTGAAGGTCGTATCGGTTCGGAAATACCGCAGACTATAACTGCTCTACAGGTTAGTTGTGGAGTAGCGGAACGCCGATAATCCACGTGATGAGGATGAAAATTTTGCCATGTGGAACGATGTTGGACAGTTGCGGCCGGTATTAGTCCGAACAATTCTTAGGAGCACTCTCCATGATATATACGAGGGGTGATCAATAAGTAATGATAATCAATATGAAACAGAACTATTAGATTAAAAAAAGTATTTTATTTTTCAACATAGTCTCCTTGCAAGTTAATACATTTAGTGTATCTTTTTTCTAAGCCCATGATTCCCTTAGAAAAAAATTCTTTGTCTTGACCCTCCCAAAATGCCTCTACTGCGGCCATCACTTCACTATTGTCCTCAAATTTGTTGCCCCGGAGGTGTTCTTTGAGCCGAGGAAAGAGGTAGAAGTCACTGGGAGCTAGATCTGGCGAATAGGGAGGGTGTTCGAGCAGTTCGAACCCCGTTTCTTCAATGGCAGCCATCGCAACTGCGGCTTTGTGAGCCGGGGCGTTGTCTTGGTGAAACAGCACTCCAGCGCGCAGTTTACCGCGTCTTTTTGACTTAATAGCTTCTCGCAATCTTCTTATTTGGCCTGCGTAGTAAGAGCCTGTTATAGTGGCCCCCTTTTCCAAATATTCCACCATAATAATTCCTTCTGCATCCCAGAAAACAGACGCCATAACCTTTCCCGCTGAACTTGACACTTTGAATTTCTTCGGCGTTGGTGAGGAAGCTCGTTTCCAAGTCATTGATTGTTGTTTGGTTTCGGGATCAAAGTGGTGGATCCAGGTCTCGTCCATGGTCACAAAACGCGACAAAAAAAATTCTTTATCGGCCTGGAACTTTTGAAGATTCACCCTCGAAATGTCGACTCGTTTCTTTTTTTGCTCGTCGGTTAACATTCTCGGTACCCAACGCGCAGAGACCTTTTTCATATGCATTTTGTTGACAATGATTTTTTGAACGCTGCCATAGGAGATCCCTGTGACCTCAGCTACATGCCTTACGGTCACCCTTCAATCGGCCAACACGATATCTTCCACTTTTTTGACGTTTTCTCCAGTAAGGGACGTGGAAGGGCGTCCCTCGCGATGTTCATCTTCAGTGGAGGTTCTGCCCAGCTTAAATTCCTTTGCCCAGCGTGCGACTGTGGAATATGGAGGAGCAGACTCCCCCAATGTTTCCTCTAAGTCGCTGTGTATGTCTTTGGTAGACATTTTTTTCAGGCAGAGGTACTTGATGACAGCTCTTATTTCATTTTTCTCCATTTTGATGTTTTCTCTTCGACAGTTCGTATTCAAATGAATGTATCTCCCGGTAATGGTGTCCTATTAATACATTTTTTTGAAGCTGAAGTAGTGGATATATAAGTAAGCAGAAAAAAAAAAAAATTGGGTTTTTGTGCGTTCTAGAAATACTCGATTATCATTACTTATTGATCACCCCTCGTACGATACAGAATGTAGAGTGAAGCTAAATCTTAACCTAACGCCAAGGGATCGAGCCGATGGGAGATCCTTTGGCTATCGACGATTCGAGTGGCTCTTCGTTGGATTCGGTCCAGAGAAAGAAACTGATATTGTGGTGCCCCTGCATAGAGATGAAAACAGAATTTCATATGGCGCCTTATAGAGTTAGAGGCGGCGGGCCGGGGTGAAATACTGCCTCGATCTGTTCAACACTAAGTGACCCCGAGAGAAGTCGATTGATTGCTGATGATTACGAGTATATTTTACGATAGGCATAATTATATGATACGGATAAACCATACAGTATCTTATATCGTTTTTTGTGTGCTTGGAAAATTTTATCATGATTACTACTTTCTGTAGTAATCATGAATTTAATAGAAGTAATTATAAATTAACTACTGAATTAACACGTCACAACGTAAAAAACAAGCAAAAAAAATTATTAACAGTTATACAATTAATGAGGATTAGGATAATATAAAAGTTGAGCCAATCCTTATTGTGAATAATATCATAACATTATAATTGCCTTATCATTATTTTATATATATAAGACAAACATTACTGTAACAAGTTTACTTTTTTATCTATCTGTACTTGTCTAGGTCAAGATTTTGCCATGACGTTTACGGTTAAGAAATATTGATGAAATGGAAACTTCTAATATTATACATACATATTAGATTTTTACACTCAAGTTTTTATCCCCGAAGGGATATAACAGACGCGTATTAAACAACGACATTTTGCTGACTATAATTTTAGTTTAACTTACGTAATAGGGGACGACTCACTGGTGACGGATTAAGAGTACAGTGTCACAAACAAAAGAGCCAACTAAGGGAATAAACTATGCAGGACAACAGCACTGCAAAGAGAAGGAAAACTTGAAACAAACCCTATAAGGAACCCGTCTGGCCAGCGTGGTATAGTAGACCTTTCTAAGGAGTGGCCTATGTCCAACAATAAACTATTAAAAGGCTGTTGATGATGAATAGGGGACAAACCTAGTGCCATTAATCGACCACATCTATTTCTAAATAAACATACTCATATATTTCTAAATACATATTACAGGCAAAATTACACCCAGACAGAAGGATTATGCTCATGACACAGCCACCATTGTATGTATTCTAAAACAAAAGTACACTTTACAACTCACCTGAGCAGATATCAACTGCATGCTCGTTATATAATGCAAATAAACAGTTTCCTTCTTATCTTTATTCTGCAGCACAACAGTCATAGAAGAATTTGGCTTCATTTGTATATCAACACTTAGGACAAAATCTTGGCTCAAATTTACTTTCAACCAGACCTGGCTTGAAATATGGTCTGACGTAGAAAATCTTATAACATTTGACTGCACTGAATTGTCATAGTCTCGCGCCATATAAGCATCTTTACTTACAATCCAGTTTTCTAGATGCTTCTCTCCATCATCAATTATTCTTCTCTTTGGGTCTGGCTCTATAATATGCTTACTGTAGTGAGCCAAACCAAACTGGGCAATTTGAGTTGGATAGAAGAAACCTCTGGGTTCCCACTGGGTGCTAACTGGGACCCCTTCGATTCCACTGATGCATTTGACTCTGTCTCTCACCTCTACATTGTAGTTTTCGAAAGTCGTAAAGGTGCCTAGAGGATCATACTTCTTTTTTGGATGATATATCTTACCGTAGCTATGCGACCATTCAAATTTATCAACTCCATCCGTGGATGTGATTTTGCCGTAAATCTGTGAAATTGAATGATGTCTTAACCGTTATTTATACTTGTACTTCTTAGTTTATCTTAATAAGTTTTTTTTTATATAGGGTGAGAAAAGGGTCACCTGATAGTAAGCGACTACCGCCACCCAAGAACACCTGCAACGCAAGAGTCACAAGTGGGGGGATTTCGGGCTCTTTACTCATTCGGCGAAAAGCAAAGAAAAAATGCTTAACCAGCGGTAGTCTGTGGGACCGCGGTATCACTGCGGTCGAGCCGCCATTTGTGCCAACGCTTGGCTCTCTCACGGTTAACTATAGGAAAAACAGCGTCTAATCCATAACAAAAATCAACTCAAACTCATCGACACACACATACATTAACATATACACTTACCTTTGGAATGACTCGGTCTTTACTTTTGTTTTAACGTCTCAATGAGATGGCGACTAATCAGAGTTTTCATGACTTTAAATTTACATTTATCTGTGTTGCCTAACAGTACTACTTTACATTCATAGAACCAAATATGAGATATTTTTAATATGTTTAGTACCTAGTCAATAGACTACGTACGTACTCATTATCATTTACTATTTTTATCTAGGTCAAATATTGCTCGAAGGACCATAAAAATCACTTACCTCGAAGTATTTGTGTACCAGTGAGAATGGTACAAAGACTTCGTCCCTGTCGGTGTCTCGGCGACACATGACTGTGTACTCGCCATTGATGGAACATTCGATGGCATCGTTTGCGGCATTTGACCCACGTTCTGTCAGGGAAGCCGATAGTACTGAAAAAAAGAATTGGTTTAAATTTACTCGAATGTCTCGTAGTGGGTAAAAGTTACTTTGTTTTATTTTTGTTCAGAGCTGCGATCTACAATAACGATGTTGGACTCAGTCTAGGAAGTCAGGGATATACTCCTTGCGATTCTCGTTGTCATGCATTTAACATCAACGCAACGTGAATTCATCTCAAACAACATTTTGAATCAAACTACCACTATAACTAACATAGAAAAAAAAATTAATCCATCTAAACAGCATTTAATTTTAATTTTTAAAAGGTACGAAAAGAAATATTTTTAATAAGTGTACTTACTGGGCCTGGAAAACCTGCTAATGTCTCCGCAATGTCCCCATAGGATCATAAACAGAAGAGCCGTAGTCACGAGTGCGAGGAGACCTGCACGAAGGTTCACACGCAGCAGCATCATACCGGCCACCTGCACCACAGCTTCATCAAAAAATATCCTTTGACTGATATGGTCATATGATATGATCAGCATAGCAAATAAATAAATTTTACAGGGTCAATAAACTTAAACATAAACTTTTAAATTGAAAAAAATTATGTTTTATTGGTGAATCAAATAGACTTCATTGGACTCGTCTCAAATCATTCATAAGAATCCATTCTCAAGGGGTCATATAGGCTAGTTGTCAGTGGAAAGTTCCACTATATACCTCCTGGTCCATCCATCATATATCCCGCTCCAAGATACCAAATTCTATAGTATTATTTTTTTTAAGAACTTCCGCAATGAGGAATATATATTCTGTGTCACGGGGGCCTTAGAAACATACATGAAATGGACACAAAGAACACCCAGACTCAGAACAACAATTTGTTGATCACACAAAGTGTCGTCCTATTTTGAGTATCAAACCCACAACACTCAAGCGCAGTAGGAAGCGGTGTGGCGACCGCTTAAATTACAACGCCATCCATGCAGTCAATATTGTCATTGAACTAGATATATAAATACACTCAATACTCATGCCATATTCCTGTCAGAGAAAATAGAGATAAACTAAATATACACGTTAAGCAACAATTAGCAGTAGGTTAAAATTAACTACCAAATAATAGCTTTACACATTCCGGCCGTCTGAGGGCCTAGTGTGAGTTTATATCACATGAACTAACTCTCGACAGACTGCATTCGGAGTTGAAATTGGTGAAGTGTTCAGTGCGGGGCAATCACAATACCAAACGCTCTCACCGTCACTATCAAGTGTATGTGAAATAAACTCAGACTAAACAACCTGATCCCAAACTAGGCGAAGCCTGTACTATGATACTTAAATAAAGAATTACACCTAGACACAGAACAAATGATGATTTGTTCATCACACAATTATTTAGGTGGGAATGGAAGTCACTAACCACTAGACCAACAGGCCCACCCGAATAGTTAGTTACAACAAGTGAAGCTAATAAAAGCGTGATATAATGAACAATACATTTTCTAATGTAAATGTTCTTCAGAATCTAAATATCTATAGATATTGAATCTAACACCCTGTCTTGATACACGTCATCATCAACAGCCTTTCAGCCAACTGCTGGACATGGGCCTCTCCTTAGAAAGGAGGATGTGTGATACACATAGTACATAATCACAATGTTCCTTCCCGTACTCTGCCGAAACGGCTTGACCGATTCTCATTAAATTTTGTGTGCACATCGGGTAGGTCTGAGAATCGGCCAACATCTATTTTTCATACCCCTAAATGGTAAGGGTGACCCATCCCTAATTTTTTTTTGTTTTGCAATACAACGTTTGCCAGGTCAGCTAGTAAAAATGTATAATTACTTGTATTTTTTTTAATATGAGATCACTATTAAATAACTTAATATAATATAAGTATTGAAGACTCGCCTGAATACTGAATAAAGAGTATCACCACCCCTATTCTTCCCGTGGGTGTCATAAGAGCTGACTAAGTCAGCAAACTAATCAGGAGAAAAGCACTTGTAAAGAGAAGGAGAACTTGTAACAAAGGTTATACCAGATGGGTATCTGGACAGCGTGGTATAAAAGGTCAAAAAAATTGTGGATTTAATTCCTACCCAGGATAAAATATTGTTGAATGTGCATGATCATAAGTTCTGTACTTGGTTGTAATTTATCTATTATATTTAGAAATATATAATTATATCCTTTCTGAAATATTTGTGTCTGACAACCTCTTTGGGTATAAACAATGTGTGTGTATATATTATTATATATGTAGGTACTGAAGGAACATAATTCAGACTTTGATACTTTAATTAAAGAAATCACTAAATAAAATGGCATAAATTTTAATATTTTCAATAATTTAATTATGATTATTATTTAGAAAATAGTTTAAAACATAGCATGGATTTTCCTGTTTCTCTTTCTTCTTTCTAATTTGAAATTAGAGGGTGTTTCATATTAACAAATTGATTCATCAAAAACAACAAACAGTAGTATCTTGTTGATCTCAAATACATAACATGTTTACTTTTTTATAAACTTAGCTTAGAAAAATGTTTCTAAGCAAAATATGAAATAATTATGTACTACTAATATCTGGCAATAAACAAGATAACCTTTTTATGACTACAAAATAAGATAAATCATTGGTGATCCACATTTCTCACTACTCACAATACTAACACTTAACTTAATTCTTTTATGAATAAAACATACACACAACATAGAAAATTAAAAAACAACTGAAAAAAAAATGCATTTCGTCTATTAATAAATCACAAACCAAAGATAAAAAACAGCGAATCAGATAAAAAAAAAACATTGGCGACATAACGACAAAACGAAAGGAGAAACTCGCTAAATATAACTTCCGAAGTACTTAGCCGTCTCCCGCTCCGGAATTTACGTAGGTGTACAATTCTCTTATATTCCAGTAGGTGACAAAGAAATACTCTCCTTTACTTACTTTTAAACTGTGAGGTCTAATGTGATCTAAATACATAAATAAACAGTAATTATTACAATACTTACTTTGTACCATTCCAGTAACATTCCATTTGCTGTTTTATATGATTAATGAACTTGAAATCTCTCACTTAAACCTTAACATCACAAAAAGTAAGTCTTATAATGTTTACTATTTACATGTAAGTATAACTCTAAATATTTACAACGGAATTATATTTTGATACAGCAATAAATTTGCTGAGAAACAACCGTCAACCAACCGCATCCCAGTGCAGCTGACTTCTGACAGTAAAGTGACAGACGACATTGGGAGCTGGATGACATTCTATTTAACGTAGTTTGTTACAAAAAATTAGTTTTTAACTAAAATCATTATTATCAGAATTTATAAAATTCGTTCTAAGCTATAGTTTAAGCAATGCAGAAAAAGGTAGTTATATTATTGTAGTGGACGTTATGTTTATAGATTTCTCTCATTAAGTGTAATAAAACTTAATCAGGCGTTGTAGGACTGAACCTCAAGATTTTAATTTTGCTTCAAAATACTAATAACAGTAGTAGTAATAACAGTGTAACAAAATAGTAGTAATAACAGTGCAACAAAAATAAATCTTGACCCTTTGGTCAAGATTTATTTTTGTTGCACTGTTATGTCATATGGGCCACTGGAAAAGTTATTTAATGTAAATAATTAATTAATGTAAAATAAAAAATAATTTCTTTAGTACAGCATACATCAACATTTGAAGAATGTGTTAAAATTAGATACTATATTCCATTGAAGTTTATTATATAATTTAATGGGTGCAAAGACCATGATTTTAAATAATTTAATTAAAATAAAACTAAACCTTGTCCGAAAAATATTATCTTATGTTAACAAGTTGTTAAGCTCTCTCTCTCTCTCTCCATCGAAAACTAAACCATTAAAAGCCTTTTTCTCGCTATTTTTCGCTATTGATGAATATTTGTATGATTCGATACTAGCAGAAAAAATGTCTGTAAATTGAACCGAGCTCTTGTAAGGTGGCGGACACACCTTGCTTGAAATCATATTTATCCAAGATTTTGGTCATATAAAGATAGTCATCATCTAGCTTGGACCTTGGAACCACTTTGGTGCAAAAAGCGACGATAATTAAGGAAAAAAAACACTTTTTACTTTACTAGTTTTTTGTTTCTGTTTTTCATGATTCTTTGAAAATTCGCCGTCAAAGTTCAATTTCCTGACTTCTTGTCCTTGTATTGAATTTTTTCTGATTTATCTAAAAGGTACGTTTACATGAGGTAATATTTAATTATATTACTTTAAGTGAATAGCTTTATTGTTCTTTGAAAGATGATAACTTTCCGTGAAAACTATGAACATCTTTTCGAGAAGCGGCTACTTATTCAAATCCACCTAATAAGCCGTCTGACTCCACACTAGGCAGAGCCTGTACTATAGTAACCAGACTGCTGATAAACATACTTATATATTTCTAAATACATACATATTTTAGATAAGTTACACACAGACAACAAGAACAAATGTAATACGATATATTTATGAGTATATATTTATTTATTTAACATAGTTGCAGTAGTAGAAACTGTAAAATATTATATCTAAGTTTAAATTATAACTCTTGGAGCTAACTCTAACTGAAAACGAGCCTCTTAAGGCTCTGCTTTGCCAAGAAGATAATCCTCTAAGGAGCCACCTGAACGGCATCACAGAGTTTGTTCCCAGCAATCGTTGTTGTATCACTTAGCCCAAAGGTGTATTGTGTGTTTGTACAGATCACCACTGCAATGTTAACAGAGCAATCGACAAACGCACGTCATTGCAGGTAAGTCGCCACCTGTGTTGCTGATCTCGGAGCTGGATCTCATCTTTTTCGTTCTGACTAGTGACTGAGTAAACCTATAACACTCAAAGCTTCAAAATTGTTTACAATTTTAAGTCCTAAGAGTATTTAAAAAAAAAATAAGCAAAGAGATGAAAATATACCATTCCTTCTTTCACATCTTGTGACCTATAACCTGAATATAAAAAATACAAAACATAATTATTGATAGTTTATATGCAAGTCGATACTTTGAATATAACTCAATATTGTAGATTAAAACTTATATTTACATCGTACAGAACTTTCTTTACTTGCATATAGCTAATTTTGTTTCAAACAATTCATGTCTAACAATTAAAATGAGAGATACATTTTATAATGCACAAAGTAAGTTTCGACTCAGTTAAAGTTGGTGTGACATTTATACGATTCGTGACATGATTTCATAGTGATTCAGTTCACCGAAGTTCGCTTCGCTAATAGGGATTCGGCCACAAATAGGTTTATCTCTAACACGATTCCGCGTCTCTGACTAGCCTCCAATCGGATTACCGAGCTCGAGTGACATATCCACCTATTTCGTGATTGCTAGACGGGTGCCTGAAGTGACGTAGAAATTTATAGAAAGCAATACCTATATTTATCCAAAGAGATGGACTTTAAAAAGTAGAATCATATTTAGCATGATGATTTATAAATGATAAGTAAATTTATTTTGTAAATAGATATTTTCGGGCACTACAGTACAATACAGTATAAACTCAATAATCCGTAAAGTCAATATATTCACATGATCCGGAAGCGATCAGAGTGACCGCGTCCAGTGCAACCTGTTCGAAACGTCAGGCAATTCTAAGTTGTATGATAACTATTACTTGTTAGTGTTAATTACCGTGTGTATACATAATTACAATTCATGGAAGGCCAAAATTTTGAACCGACCAATCATGAGGTGCTCACACTGGAGAACTAGACAGTGAAAATACTACTTTATTGCATTAGTTTTGTATATATGTAATATGGTTCTAGTTAAAAAAAACATTACGTGCCTTTCGGTTTATTAGATGAGATTAAAGGCAAAAATGCTCACTCTTTCATAGTATACTATTTCGACAATCTGTAATGTAAAATGTTCGCCGATTGCCCCTGTGTAATGCAACAGTTTATAAAAATGATACTTTAGATTATAAAACTAAGAAACATGCTGTAAGGAGGAACCGATTTAAAAATAAAAACCGTCTACTCCTTCCTCCTCCTAAATCCATCATCAGATCAGGTCTAAGATGTCCAAATTATAATATTGCCATTAAAACAACATAATATACAAAGTTTATTTCAAAACAAATTAGAAGATGACATTAACTGCTAAGATTTGTTCACATAGTTAATCCTTTAGTTAGTAAGAAGCGAAGCCAATAAGAAATATGTTAAAATATTGATAAAATTCAAAAGCAGGTTTCGGGATACTGACGGGATACCGACTTAATGTACAACGTCCTTGTCGCTTACGCGACATCGTAGACAATTAATGAATATGTACATAATATGTTGCATGTAAATAGTGCAATCAGTGCACGTATGTATAACATCAGGGGCAGGTCGTGTTCCAGCGATCGCTAACTCGCTCTATTGGAAGTGGTAGTACGTAAGGAGGTCAGTGGCAAGTGGGTCAGGGCGGATGCACCACCGCGGGCACGCTCGGCTATTCCCGGCGAGCCTCGGGAGCAGTCGGCCGCGCAAGCGCGCAGCCCCCATCGATCGCCGCCCACGCGGCGCAGCGCCGCTCAAGTGCTCCGCGAGTCGCGACGCGAGTCCCGGGCTTGGCCCCTCGACGATGGCGGCGTGAACGCGCGCCGCCCGCGGCCTCCGGCGGACATGCCGCGATGGCCAGAGAGGTAACCGTGACGCGACCGGCGCCCGACCGCCGCCTCCGCCCTCTTATGTAACCGGGGACTGCTGACACGCCCGCAGACATGGTTACTATCACCTCAGGCCTCCCCGCGCTTCTCCAGTGAATGATAACGCATAGTCGCATCGTGCCACGCTTAGCCCCTCGGCTCCTGCTCGTCTTGACTCAGGCGCTTGTAGTCACTACACATATAGGAACGTCCCTAGAAGCCATAGTAAAGAATCCTCGTCCCAGTGCATTACAGTGGTATCTAGTGGTGAAGACCGTGTGTTATATTTAGTTATGTACCCGTGGTGGGGATCTGCCCATGTCTCGCACGGTGGTATGTAGGCGTGCAGCAGTGCCGCAGCCGGCGTCCCCCTCGCGCTCGTACTGTTTCTCCGTGCGTCCGTTTCGCTCGCTCTGCCGTAATCGGTTGCACATGCAAACTGTGTCTGTTCTAATACATGGTGTCTATAGGAGGATTAAATTATCGGATACTATACAAGACCGATCTGAAATCATCTATAGAATCTGTGATCTAACTATATACGTGTTTCATACTCTAAATATAATCTACTCATCACCTAAGTAAACATTACAGATGGATATAATTATAGAAATATGGAACCCATTGTAATTTTGCTGAAAAACACTTAAATACGAGTAGTCGATGAGCACATGCGTAGCTCTCCTGTAAAAGTTTGCCCGTAGGCCGCTATCGTAGCATTGCGTAGACGTAGCATAGCACAGTAAAGTTACTTAGTGGAATGAGTATACGTTTTTATACAATTGTTTATATATGTATTAATAATAATTGCTATAAAATGCATGATTACGTATGAAATTTACGCAATATTCACACTATATTTGTATAATAATTTTATCATAATGTACATCAAATACTGTTTTCACGTTATCTTAGGCAGTGCAAGTAACGAAATCAAGTGACAGATAAGCGTTTTGGAGTTGCCAGTAGTAGGAATTTTACACACGCATTTTATTAAAAGGAATATTTTTTAATCTAACGTTTTTTATCCCAGGTAGACCATGTGCTATTTGCCTCCTATGAAGGATAAAAATGGTGCAAATGATCCATGAATTTATTAATAAGACCCTGCTGTCTTACGCAAATCTGTGCTGTCACTCAATATTCGCCAGTACTGTAAAAAGCATTCTAGTTAAACTTTCTAATACACGAAATTTAAGCGTTATCGGTTTAATTTTTTGTTTGGCGTTAGTTAGGTCATGTTAATTATGGAATAGTTTCCTTTTTTCAGTCAGACAAAACAAACAAACAGACAACATATATCAGGGATTTCACAAACATGAAATTATCTAAAACTAGCTGCCCCGACAGACTTAGTCCTGTCAACATTTTTATGGGCGTGTTACCTGACTTCGAAAAGTGTAACTAAGGCGTCAAGTTGCTCGTGATAGCATGCATTCACTGTTAAGTGTTTCGTAACAGTAAACTTACGGGGACGTGGCATCTGGTGTTACATTTTTCGAAGTCAGGCAACACACCCCATTTTTATAATTAGTTTTACCCGGCTTTCTCAAATTTCGGGCACTTTCTCTAATTTTTCTTCACCGTTCTTCTTCAGATGTTCTCGAGTTTTACCTTAAGCAACATATTATTCACATCAGATCACATCAACAACCTTTAATAGTCAGCTTCTGGACACAAACATCTCCTTAGAAAGGAGGTTTTGGCCTACTATAACACGCTGGCCAGACGGGTTGGTATAGGGTTTGTTTCAAGTTTTCCTTCTCTGATATATATACTCGTATTATAAATAAGAGTATCTTGTCTTTATTTAACCATTATTTTTTTGTGTGCCAGTGATACCACGGCGTCACAGAAAGCCGCTGATGAGCAGCTCTTTGCTTTTTTTTAAATATATTTTTTTTATTATTTATTCTAATAATTAAATTATAGTACAGAGTTGTTACTTAGTTCTAAACTCTCCAAACATTTACGTTTGAAGACAAGAAGCGCTCTTTTACATTACAATGAATCACCTTATATACACTTAATGTAAGACACAATAATACACAATTAAATAATATAGTAATTACATGTAAACCTATGTTGTGTTCTATTTAATGATACCATTGTATCTACTCGTATCTCTTAATTAAAAAAGAGTGGCCGTGAGTTTACCATTTCTTCTCATAAGGCTCAACCCCTTGGAAACGGGCTGTTGTAGATTGGCACAATCATAAAATATAATATATTTTCGATACGTATATATTTATTTTACTAAATATTTGAAAACAATTTTGCCCCGATTTAGGGGGAAGGGTGACGGTGGTAGTGACCAAGTGCCCCGTCCATACCATAAAAAAATATAGACCTGGTATATGAACCTGGTTACTCATCACATATAAATCAGATGTTAAGGATTAACGCGAGATGAAATATCTCTGGGTCTGAACAAAATATCCATAAAAATATTTCGACCATCTCCCGAAAACTAATACTTTGTTGTAATCTTATCATCGCTGTTCTTGCAAAGGCACTCGGCCTGGATTCGAATTGGGTAGTTGTCAGCTATTATATATTATCTTCCAGAATAAGCCGTCTACTAGAAGATTTTGAAAAGAGAAAACTGATCTCCTCCAATCCTAAATTCTATACACTCTTGCTACCGACTTTGGTCGAAATCTTAGTCTTTTAAGTAACAGTACATGACATTGTTGTCCGCTGTAACTTACTGAAAAATATTTTATGTATTTTGACTATATCAGGCTTTTTTGGTTGATGACGAGCATGTTGTCAACATTAGAGTTTGCCAAGTGGAGATTTAGCAACACTGTACATCAATACTAAATAACTAAGTTGATATTTTTGACAATACAACTGGTAAACAAACTTTAAAAAAAAAATTAGGAGGTGCTCCGGATTGTAAGCGAAAACCACGCACGGAAAACCAGTATGTCATCTTGTTCTTTTTACCAAGGCCTCAATTCTGCTATTGAGATGCCATTGAGACGCCATTGACATTGGTTAAAATATCAGTATTCTACTAACATAAATTCACAGTCAATAGACTTTCAATACAGTAATATAGATCATCAATGGTGATATCAACAACATTGCTGTACTAATACTAAGTACGTAATTTAATATATCATTTTCGTACAACTTTAAAATGTACCGTGTATTTATGTGCGAGTTCTTGAGTGGAGACCGCGTCTCCGCAAACGTAGTGTAGGACGCCCACAGGCCAGGTGGAGTGACGATTTGCGCATGATGGCTGGCAGGAGCTGGATGCGAGAAGCCCAAAATCGATCTAAGTGGCGTACAATGGGAGAGGCCTATGTCCAGCAGTAGACTGCGATAGGCTGATGATGATGATGATTTATGTGCTGTAAATTCCTTGAAAGAAAGATAGACAAAGGCAATCACCATCTATCAACGCAATAATCGATGACTTCGTAAAAGACATTGACAAGGTAGACCAACAGCCAAAAAAGCTTGGATTTTCGACAACTGCTTAACATCACGTCTCAACTGGCCCTTTCTGGTAAACGATATAAACCAGAACCACTTAAGAATACTGGACGCAAAGGTCACTAAGATATTGAAGTCGTGGCTTGGGCTAGCAACATCTGCAGACCCGTCAACGTTGTACAGGGGCTCGAATAACTTTGGAATGAAATTAAAAAGACTTCGGTACTCTACAAACATCTAAGAGCTACCAAAATGCATGTCTTGTCAAAACCACAAGACGAAATCGTTAGATCCCTTCCAAAAGACAAAAATTCATCAGAGCTCGAGTCACGGCTCCTATTCCACAAGAAATATCATGGTGGGTACGCAGTCCAGTATAGCTGGATTGGGAAATGCTAGAAGAAAGACCGACAAAGGGATAACAAAATCTTTACTACAACAATATGAAAACGAGACCTACAAGGTGCACGCTATAAACCTAGAAATGCAGAATGAATGGTTACTATAGGAGAATTTTATATCCCACCAACTTTAAAATGGCGCAAATTTTTATACTATTGGTGACCTGCCCTGTTAAAATTTTAATTCAACGCCGTACAATTGACTCTCCCCGATCAAAGTAATCTAGTAAGGTGGGAAAAAGCTACAGAAAAGGCTTGTACGATATACAGTGTGGAAATAGGTACAGCTAGGCACTTACTGACAGGATTTAAGGCACTATTAGACCGGGGTCATTATTCACGCCGCCATGATAGAGTATTACAAATCAAACGCGAAGCTATAAGTTCATCGCTGGCTAGAGCGAAAAAAGGAATAACAACAAACATAAGAGGCTCAACAAAAAAGACTTCACAAAAGTCGTACTCAATTATGAATACCGCCAGTGACTGGACAGTATTAGTGGACATGTATGAAAATCATTACAGAATACCGGAAGATATCTGTGCCTCGGCGTCCAGACTAGACATATTTCTTTATGCAATTTCAATTAAGCGTGTAGTACTAGTAGAACTCATGGTGCCGTAGGAAAAGAACATCCCTAAAGACTACGCTTTAAAAAGAAACAAGTTCTTTGACTTAACCAACGAAATAAATAAACATGGTTGTAATTAAAAATGTGCCGTGGAAGTGGGTGCGAGGGGAAAGATTTTGGATTGTCAAGAGCTTCAGTAAGCTCTTTTCTTGAATGAATATCCAAAGCGGCATTGCTAGGTCCGTATCAAATATGGTTAGGTAGAGGGGGTAACGCAGCAGACAGTGGAAGTGAGCGCCGACGCGTCACAAGGACTACTCTCTAAACCTATACCTGGGTCGCAAGTCCCAGGCGCTGTCAAAGTAGCATGAGTTGCCCCTATCTATAACGTGATGGACCCGCACGGTGAATCCATGGAACGCTAAAAAATAGGTTTACCAAACTGTTACAAAGACATCGACGAATTTGTGTCAGTGTTTAGTCAGTAGTAGTTAGTAGAATAGAAAATGTGCAAAACTATTCCGACGACATTTCATCGACAGTCAATTGATACAATATTAAAATAGCAGAATTGCGGCCCGGGTCAGTTAGCTTACCGGAGACCGAAAACTTTTTTTTTTGAGGTTTTTGAGTTGCAGAAACTCATGGGTAAAT